CCCCAAAACCCCAAAACCCCAGCAATAAAAATGATTGTCATAAATTTAAATTAGTTTTTTTACAAGTAAATGTTTATTGATGAGTGTAAAATAAAATTTTTTATAGAACTTTTAAGTATTAAAACATGTTATCAGATTATTAATTTAGCCAAATTTATAATGATCTCTCTTATCGCTACAGACATACTAGTTCTTTAAACATCAATGAGTCTGTAAAATTATCCTTCTTCATCTCTCATAAATCTTTGATTAGAGAAGCTGTCATTCATAAACAAACAATCATTTATAGAAGCAATTACTTTGACGATTTAGTAGTTTCTAAGATTTATTAATTTTAAATTGTAATAATCCTTCAAAAAAGCGTATGGATTCGATTCATAATCATAATCTTACACAGCAAATATATGTGATAGTGAAGTTACTTTAATGTTGCAAGTAAATATTCTTTTTTTAATGTTAAAAATCTTTAAAATTTCTTACTGTCTATCAGTAAAAGCAATAAAATTAGGACTAACTCGCATAATCTATAATATCTATCCTTTTTTTATTAATCTTACTTTTCAATCATAAGATAGTCTTTTATAATTTTTATCGAAGTAATTTCTTTTGTTTATGGAAATGGATTTTCCTAATATAATAATGCTTAATCATTATTAACGCTGTATGTCTTGATTATATTCATCTCAGTTAATACAAAAATAAATACAGAATCTTCATTAAAGCTTACTGCAACATCTTTTACTATGTTTTTTTCTTGTATTTTCATTTAGATATTTTTCTCTATAATATTGTATTAAGTTATTTAAAATTGTGCAAAAGTTAGAATAAATATTTCTCATGATTTATTCTTGAATACCTTTTTTGAATGATTTCTAAGAGTATCATCTAGCTATATTATTTCAGCTTTATGATCAATTAGATTTATTTGAAGAATTTCAAATTTTTTATCAGAAAATCCAAGTATTTGAATTTCTTTATCTGATATTGATATAATTTCATGGATATCACATTTATAATATAGTCCTTCTTATTAGAATTCAATTTCCTGAATACCTTTTGATTAATCTTGATAAATTAGATAAAGTTTAGTTGAAGAAAAGTTTTATGCTAAGTAATATAAATTTTTCAATTTCAAAAATGTTACGAAATTATGTTTAATTTCTTATGGAAGAGTGCTAATGACACTTTACATATTAATATCATAAACATGATTTATGCTATTCCAAGTATAAACTTATAGAGAATCATCAGCTTTTAAATTTTCTTGTTTTTAATAAACATTATTGTCCTCTTAGTCATACCTAGAGTTATAAAGTTTAATTTCTAATAAATTTTTCTTTTTGCTATTCAAGTAATATAAAAGTCCATTGTGATAATAAATGAATGGGTTTTGCTCTTAAGTAGCTTCTTGTAATGTGTATTAGTTTATGAGGTTCAATCTAAACTTATCATAGACTAAAACTACAGTTTTCAGGTTAATTGTATTTTTAGAATTTATGATTAGTGAATAATTTGTGACAACAGGCTTTTTGCTGTCAAACGCAAAACCTTCGGGAGGAATAAGTTAACCTATTTTCTCAGTTTTCCCAGATAATAAGTGAGCAATTTGGAAGATATTGAAGTGATAATCAATACCAAAATATTCTGTGTCTTGACTAAAATATATTAAATGATCAAGATCATATTTAATATTGAGAGTTTCAAGTTCAATAACTAAAGTTCTAGACTTATCATAAGTTGCAAATATAAACTTATCTATATAGAAATCAGATAGTTCAAGCTCAGGATATCCAAGAAAACATTTACAAATTCCATCAGATGATATATGTTTTATTTGATTTTCGCCTATTCTTATTGGAACTTCATCTAGCCAATCTTCGAGATTTACCTTGGCTGGTTCTGATATGGGGTTAGTATAATTGCATTTCAAGATAACTAGGCTTTTATAATCCTTTTAATTTACCTCTTAAATATAATCATTGACCTCAATTTTTGGTATTTATTGGCAAAAAATAATATGATCCTTAGGACCAAGCATCACATTTCTAAAAGTTCCAAAGAAAAATTAATTTTAAATAATGACGATGGGCTTTTCGTCATTTAAGTAATCATCAATTAAGTATATTTTTATAAAAAAACTAGGATCATTTGATTCAATTGGACTAATACTTAAGAGCATGTATTTTCCGCAAGGTGAAATATTAAATATATTATTAACTCTTTAAGAATTTTATGATATTAAAACTTGCAAATTTTCATTTATTTTTTTTTGCTTAATTTTTTCAAAGGTTTTTAAGTCTCTGAGCTAGCAATATCTTACCTTATCTTTATCATTAGTTACTCCATTTAAAAGGATTCTACTCTGGTTTTTTATGATATGGATTCCTTCTATTGTGAAATCAAACTCATCTGCTAAGCATCTCTCGACTTCAATTTTTGCTTAATTTAAGTCAACGTAATTAGGATATATATCTTTGCAAGACTAGATAGGAGCATCTTATGCTTGTTAATTTTATCCGATCTGACTGTCACTTGAGATGTTTTATTGCAGAGATTGTGCTTGAGGAGGATAATTGGAAAGCAGACTCTCATTTGGGTTATTTGACATTTTAATATTTAATATATTATGTATTAAGGAATTTCAGTCTAATATAACTTAAAATTAGAGCAACAAATATTTTATGCTGTGTTTATATTTGTTTTATGTTTTTAATATTTAATCATTATAAATATACGAATGATGGGGTTTTGGGGTTTTGGGG